AATTAAAATTTTTTTACATTAATCACATTTTATTCGCTTTGTATCCGAGCTGTAACCCTGTCCCTCATTCCCTTCCAATCCTACCCGCCTTCCCTCATCTCCTCCCATGCCCCTCTCCAAGTCCAACCAAGGTCCATTCATGGAGATAACCTAGAACCCCTGCTCAGATGTAGCCCATGGCAGATCAGTATCCAAGTGGGTTCCCTAGTAAGGGGAACAGGGACTGTCTCTCACATGAACTCAGTGGCTGACTCTTTGACCACCCCCCCCTAAAGGGAGGAACAACTTTGCCAGGCCACAGAGGAGGACATTGCAGCCAGGCTTTGTTTGTTTGTTTGTTTGTTTTAACATAAACTTTAGAATAAAATATAGTCAGTAAACCAAGGCTCTAAAACAAAAATGTTCTTGTCTACTGAATTATCTACATATTATAGAAAATGGTACTTTTCTCTCATGTAAGTCACCTTACTAAATATTTTATGAAAATAAAAAGAGCCAAGCTTTGAGATTTGTTGAATTTATGATTTCAAGTATGGTTCTAACTATTCTAATAGCATATTTTATCTCTTTTAGATTTGGGATTGTACATGTCTCTGGTTTTGAAAAATTAGATTGAATTTGGGTGAGAGTCTTAAGTTATTTTACATCCTAACATCCCTTTTCTATCAGTATGCTGGATTTCTTGTGACATCTGTGAGGAGTTATGTAATAACACACTAGTCTCAGATGGAATTAGTCATATGGAGACACTTTTTAAAAATTTAGGTAAACTGTAGCTTGTTTCAATCTTTGCAGCCATGCTTAATAAATCCTGATATTGAAATGTCGGATAATTCATGCACAGCACCTAGTATAGTGCCTGATGTTCACCGAGAATTCATTGTCTCCTCTCCAGGAGAGCCAGAGTTGTAATTATAGAAACATTTCTAACTTTGCTTTCAGTGGAGGATTAACAATGAAAAATGAAATTTAATAATAATGTTGCATTTGTACAATAGTAGGGGAAGGAAATGATAAACAGCCATTTTCAGTGGAAGGGGAGAATGTCATAAACTACTTATATTTAACTTTGTCATCTTCTCTGAATTAGCAATTATTCTCTTCCCTTTTGAATCTCCTAATGATCTGCAACTGATAAAACTATTTTCTTTGTTTTATTATTCTATTTCTAATACAACATATGGTGCTCCAAATTTTTTAAGAGAAGTTACCACAAAAGTACTAAGGTCAGACTCTTAAAAAGAGATTATTAATGTGAGTAAAATAATGGAGAAGTTCACATCATTATTTAACAAAATGTTTTCAGTTAAGAAAAACATAATTAAACATGGCATGTTCAATGAACTTAATGGCTCTGGGATATGTTCTCCCATTTAAAACAGGAAGACGAAATAATTTGGAGAACAATTTACTACCTGGTGACTCACAGCACAGCTAGTAATGCATTCGATGATAAGGTACAGACTGCCAGCCAACAGGAAGGCAGATGGGCCTCTAGATGACAGAATTCAAACAAGTAATTGTCTACATGAAGAGCCCCAGAGCCCCAGCAGAACTGAGTACATATGTCTGTCACTCATTTCGCGACTGTGGGTATTAGCAGAATCATCAACTTTTCTATGAATGGGCTCTCCCATTTTGAGATAAGTTCAGCAGAAGTTATTTTTGGAAAAAGAAACTTAGCAACATAGCTTCGTAGAGCTTTCCTTTTGTGTATTCCTTGATGTCCACAGGAGCCATGAATTAACATGAGCTGTATTTGTGGTTACTTGTGGGAATACCGTCAGACACTGGAGAGACTTGTCTTCTCTTCTAATTCCTGAAGACCATTTCGCCTGGATATTTTGCTACGTATTTGACAGAGACCTGTCTCAAATCAATTTTCTGCTAGTGTTCTGAATTTCCTGGAACATTCAGAAAATAAAGACCAGTATTTGAGGAATACTGTCCAGCACTGTTTTCATCAATATATCTAACTTGAAAGTAAATAGATAAAATAACTTAGTCATTTTATGACAAAAATTTCCCCAAATCTTAAAATAGACTCAGTCAATAAGGAAGCTTAAATTCTAGATCTAGAAGAATGCTTATTTGGTGCTGTGCTCACTGCTCTGCACTCAGTATCTGTTTCCCCTTGAATTCCTGGCTTGAATCCTTAACTTCCAAATTATTTCAAGGATAATTAGTAGAAGAAAAGAAATTGGATAGGTAAACTATCTCAGTTTACCACAATACGGACACTGAAAAAAGTAAAAATCTCCCTAGCTAAAAGATGCACTGGTAAATTGTGAAGGGTGATCAAGGGTATAGAAAACGTGGATCAAGGAGAATACTTCAGAAATAAATAGGCTCATCTGTAATGCTGCAATTTGTAGCAAGTCCTTGAATTAGTGAAGGGAATTCACACTTGTTCCTAAAAGCTTCCTCAAGTCCTCCCTTTAAGGGAAAATACAACTAGCCACTATAATGAGTTGGTAAACTTTTGATAATTATTTTCTAAGGAGTATACATTTCCAAGATGGTAAATGTTATATATTTGTAATAGAAGAAATGGCATAAACTGTTAAAATGTTTTGAGGGACAAAAAAAAAAAAACAAAAAAACAAAAAAACAAAAACGAGTACTAGACCACAAAATGTGAATTTACCCATATTACATTAGGGAAATGATTCTGGCTTACATTTATGAGCAGACTAAGCTTGTATTCCGTAGTTGGCATTTTCTTGGGCTGCCAGAAAGCATTTTATCACTTGTCATGTCCCACATATGAAGCAGGAAGATGAGGAGAAGTAAGAGAGGGTTCAGTTGAGGAAAGACCTCACAGGCTGAAATTCCGGAGAGACAGGAGCTAAGAACAGTGATGGCACAATGCGTGCTCAGCAGCTCTGATGAGCTATCAAAGGTAAAACACGTGCTGCTGATTGGGGGAGGGGAGAGGCACAGGGCAGGAGAAGGGCCTTTTACAATTCCTACATTAGCACTTCGCTGCTGCCATTGAGTTCAAGACCACAGTCATATTCGATGATCCTGTTGGCTAGCCTGGGTCAACCTGAACCAAGCCACGCGCTATGGAAAAGGGAATCTCCACTGAAGAATTGCCTTTACCCCAGTGTCTGTGGCTATCTTTATAGGGCAGTTGCTTTATTATTAACTGATGTGCCCAGCCTAGTGTGGGCACCAACCTTCCTAGTTAGGTGGGCCTAGGCTACATGAGAAAATTTGCTAAGCATGCCAGAGAAGGAAACCAGGAGTCACTGTTCTCCCATGCCCTTTGCTTCAGTCCCCACTTCCGTGCCTTGGCTTCCCTGTGACAGGAGAGTGTGAAGAGAAAGTGCAAGCATCACTTTTCTTTCTCAAGATACTTTTGATGATATCGTTTACAACATAACAGAAACCGAACCAGGATAAAAGAGGTCAACCATGGGTCTTCGTTCATTTGATATATGACTGCTCCGCTTTGGCTTTGAATTTAGAAAATTATGGGTACAGTCATTCTAAACAAAATGTGTGTGTGTGCTCATCAGTGTTTTCTTTATTTTCTCTTATCACATTGGCTGGCTTGAAAAATAGATGAAGAGTCTACATCCTCAAATAAGTGAGAAACATTATTTGGGAATATGAGTTTTGATAGTTGAATCAGTTAAGAGGGTTTTCTATGGCATGTTACTGTGAGTAAATCCACAGAGAAGGAGGCAACTAATGGGACACATTTTGAAAACTTGAGAAGTTATGCAATGAATGTAAATAATTATGCTAAAAAGTGTAGGAAAAGTGTTTATTCTCGTTAACATTTTACTAGCATTTTGGTTATGAAAAGCCCATTTATTTGTATATGTGTGTGTTTCTGCCTGCCTGAGTTCATGTGAATCACATGTATGCAGGAGCAGGCAGACGTGGTTTCGGGCTGCCATCTAGGTACTGAGAACCAAAACTGGGTCCTCTGTGAGAGAGGACCCTCCTCAGCTGCTGACCACCTCTAATATTTTGGTTTCTAATTTATTCTTTCCAGTTTGGAACTAGAAAGAATTTTAAAATAAATATTTATAATTTAATAAAGTTACCATTAATTTAACCTTACCATTCAATAGAGCGGCGTCATTGGCTTTCTAAAGCCATAGCCCCATTTTTCATTAACTTATAATAGCAAACATATTTAAATTATTTGTTGGCAAAGAAGAAAAGCTGTTCAAACTTTATTTTTAGCTACTACTTCTGCACATGCATTACAAAACAGACAAATGACTTTGATTTATTTCACGGAAGGAAGAAAATCATCAATGTTTATGTACCCGTTTTTCTTTTAACTGTCTATATCACTTTCTTTCCACAGTAACCTTAAATAACTTAAAAAATCTTTTCAAACTCAGAAGACATTATGTTGAGTACATAATCCAGTAACAGAAATAAATAAATATTATATGATCCTCCTTACATTGATTCCTGGAGCAATCAGATTCACAGAAGTAGAATTAGAATGGTGATTAGGAATGTTCGAGGTAAGAAGCAATGGAAATGAAGAAATAAGTAACCTTTTAGCCAGGCAATGCGATACAGTGCTAACTAATATCCTGCCACAATAAAAACTACAATCTAAATAAAAAATAAGGATGCGCACAAATTACTAGGTGTAGACCTGAAAGACAGATTAATTTTTTCCTTATTTTTTTTAAGATTTATTTATTATGTATACACTGTTCTGTCTGCATGTACACCTGCACACTAGAAGAGGGCAGCAGATATCATTTCAGATGGTTGTGAGCCACCATGTGGTTGCTGGGAAATGAACTCAGGACCTCTGGAAGAGCAGCCAGTGTCCTTAGCTTCTGAGCCATCTCTCCAGCCCCAGACTACCATTATCATGGTAATAAATGTTTTAGACATCAAAAGAGTGATGTGAAATAATTCATCTTTCATATAATTTATAAATGAATTTATATAATAATCAAGTGTATCCTTATTATAGGTTCCAAATCTTTTACCGAGTAACTTTGCTATTTTAGGAGGAATCGTTGATAAGGATCTTCGTCACTACCTCAACTTAAGATTTCAGAAGGGTTCTGTTGACCACGAGCTGCAGCAAATCATCCGTGACAACCTCTACCTCCGCACAGTGCCGTGTGAGTACGATGGCCGACATTCTTTTCTTTCTGTGATAAGCAGATAAATGTTCAGCTATCTACTTATCACTTAAAAGGAAAATGCTGAAACATAGATATTTATGGACAATTGGAACTAGAATCAGAGGTGAGATATGAAACCACAAATGCAAACGCTTAGAACTGCGGTTTTGTGTTGTATGATAGTTATACAAAAATATATGACTTTTAAGCTATAAAACATATCTCAGTTACACTGCTCACAGTACTTATAATACTGATCCCAGACCAGACCTTCATTAATTCTTGAATCATGACGGAGGCAGAACTCCACGGAGTTCTGTGAATGAAACCTGCATGGTAGATTTTGCAACAAGGAGACCTCCAAGCAGAAAATAATGGTACTATGAAACACGTATGTAGCATGTTCCATTACTCTGGGGAAATGATGGTGGTATACACTGGCTTAGACTTTTATATGCAGCCTCCAGAAACTCCTTTAAAAGAGAAGAGTTAGTAAACTGGCATGATTTATAAAACAACATCTGCATCCCTGTCCCTGCTTTTTTTTTTTTTTTTTTTGACATTCTATTAATGTTAGGAAAAAGGAATTCCGGCTCCAATACTAAATGCTGTATGGATATCAAAATCCACTTCCTTCAAGTAAGACATTTTGACTGCCAAAAACTATCCTGTTCTCTAGAAATTGTGATCCGTTGATGTTGTGTGATTTGGATTTTGTTTAGTTATGCCCTAATCATAAATAAACTCAAAACCATGAGTTCTGGTTGCCTTAGAATTAGCGGGAAACCTTGATTTAGAATAAATCAAAGAGCAAATTTTGGGTATATACCTAGGAGTGGTATAGCTGGGTCTTGAGGTAGCACTACTCCTAGTTGTCTGAGAAAGCGCCAGATTGACTTCCAAAGTGGTTGAACCAGTTTACATTCCCACCAGCAATGGAGGAGGGTTCCCTTTTCTCCACAACCTCTCCAGCATGTGCTATCACTTGTGTTTTTCATCTTAGCCATTCTGATGGGTGTAAGGTGAAATCTCAGGGTCATTTTGATTTGCATTTCCCTAATGGCTAATGAGGTTGAGCATTTCTTTAAGTGTTTCTCTGCCATTCGATGTTCCTCTTTCGAGAATTCTCTGTTTAGCTCTGTTCCCCATTTTTTAATTGGATTACTTGGTTTGTTGCTTTTCTGCTTCTTTAGTTCTTTATATATACTGGATATTAGCCCTCTGTCAGATAAAGGGTTGGTGAAGATTCTTTCCCAATCTGTAGGCTGTCTATTTGTTTTGATGACAGTGTCTTTTGCTTTACAGAAGCTTTTCAGTTTCATGAGGTCCCATTTATTGATTGTTGCTCTTAGAGCCTGTACTGTTGGTGTTCTATATACTCACTTATATAGACCTACAAGATATGATAAACATAATGAAATCTACACACCTAAAGAAGATAATCAAGAAAGGGGACACAGGCGATGGTGATTAATCCTCATTTAGAAAGACAAATGGGATGTGCATTGAACGTATGACAGGAGTCTACCACAAAAGGCATCTGAAAGACTCTACCTAGCAGTGTTTCAAAGCAGACACTAAGACTCATAACCAAACCCTCGGCAGAGTGCAGGGAATCATATGAAAGAAGGGAAGTTAGTATGATATGAAAAGGATAGGAGCTCTACAAGGACCAAATATATCCGGGCACAGGGTCTTTTCTGAGACTGACACTCAACCAAGGACCATCTATGGATATAACCTAGAACTTCTGCTCGGGTGTGGCCCGTGGTAGCTCAGTAACCAAGTAGTTTTCCAAAGTAAGGGGAACACGGACTATTTCTAACAGGATCTCAAAGGCAGACTGTTTGACCCCCCCCCCCAGGGGAGGAGCAGTCTGTTAGGCTACAGAGGAGGACTTTGCAGCCAGCCCTGAAGGTACCTGATAAAACAGGGTCAGATGAAAGGGGAGGAGGTCCTCCCCTATCAGTAGACTTGAAAAGGGGCAGGGAGGAGACCAGGGAGGGAGTGCGGGGTTGGGGAGGAAATGAGGGAGCGGGATACAGCTGGGACACAGAGTTAACAAAATGTAACTAAAAAGAAAAATAAAATTTAAAAAAAAGAATAAATCAAAGAAATAAGACAAAATTGATACACATGGCTGAATCACAGCATTTTGAAAGTGATACAAATAAAAGCTTATATCAAAACACATAACAATACAAAGGTGAACCAGAAACCACCTAGCTCTTTTAATCAATATTCATTTGGGGATGGGTGGAAAAACTTGTCATTGTCACTCAGTATTGAATAACCATCAAAATAATGTCACAGTGTATTTATCACCCATTACTAAGTAAAAACACTTGCTAATTGACATCTTGTTGGTCAGAATGATTCCTATTCAATGTGTGTTTTTAAGTGAATAGACATTGGACTCTTGCTTTGAAACTTCATGCCGATAAAAGTACACCCTTAAACTTGTGAGTCTGACATTGGAGTGACGGGCAGGATGGATTAAGGTGACTGAACTGCTTATAAGGTAACGGGTGGACGGGTTTTCAAAGCCTTGATGTTGTCAGTGCATCTAGGTGAATTTATCTTTTGTGACAAGAAAGAGAGGAGACCTGAAATACTAAATAAAGAGTCCAGGTGCTTTGTTATGTTAAAAGCTGAAGGAAACAGATAAGAGGCTGACATCAGGAATCCTTGTAGTCCTTGCTAGGATGATGGCATAAATAAGAAAATCTTAATTAAATATAATGATAATGGGAGGAATTTTGCTTTAGCTAATTAACTTTTTAGAGCATCTTTCTTTAGAGTATCAAGGAAAGACTATGAAGGAGAAATAAATATAAGGGTAAAATAACAGGAGTTATGCGTAAACCTAGAGAGCACAAGATGTGATTTTGGTTCAAGGTCTTGAATTCAATTAGAAATCCTTGGGTAATGCCTGCAAAGGAGATAATTAGAAACTCAAAGGATCTGAATATTATCAGGAAACAATTGTTCTTTGATTTTGCAGCCATCACCCCTAATAGCTAATGCCAATAACACCATTTGCCAACACTGCTTTTAATTTGGCATAATAGTCATAAGGCATCTGGTAAAAGATGCTTCTGATTTGTACTATTAAAAATTGCTTCCACACTGAGGACCAGCCCTGGACAGTCTGTCTCCTTCACTCGTTCTATGTTTTAATGAAGTGCTCAGACATTCTCGGAGAGTGTGCAATAGCTTGTGCCAGCCGTGCGAAAAATCCCACCGTTGCTTAGAAACGTGCACGTGTGCACGGCCCATCTATTGGCATTCATTATTGAACCTCATCTCCTATACATTTTCCTTGGACAAGGCAGTCTCATTATTTGAATGAACCCAACAGAGTAAAAAGAGAATATGCTGTTAGCAGTCGTACATACATCTATCAATGTGAATATTGTCACCTCTTGTTTAACCTGAACAGCAGCTAAGGTCTAGCCCCGTAACTCTGATTCCTCCGTGGGCTGTCCCAACAACTGCAACTAGAAGAAAAGGAGAGCCAAATCCTAGAGCCAGTCATTTTTAGTGCTCAGGGTGTATGCATGTAAGGGCCCTGGGGTTATGGGTCCACACATTCCTCCTCTCACTCACACTCTTAGTCAAACTCAGTTGTAAGTCATTGAGCAATCTGTACACCTAAAGAGGTCTGCATCAAGCTACGGTCACATTCTGAGCTCATCAAGAGAAGGAGGAAGGTACATCTGGGTCTCTACTGGGCTTTAACTATAAATAATATGGAATCCCATTAATTGGTTTGTAGAACCAATTAATTGCTTGTACTAAGCCTTTTGATTTAGTTTTCTTAGACCCTTATCTCAGTTTGTTTGTTTGTTTGTTTGTTTTACTTTTTTACATTTTATTAATTTTATATCCCGATTGTAGCCTCCTCCAGGTCCCACCCTCTCTCTCCTTTCCCCATCCCCTTCCCCTAGTCCACTGAAAGGGGGAGTTTTCCTCCCCTCCTATCTGACCCTAGCCTATTTGGTCTGCATTCTCTTTCTCTGTGGTCGGCTAAGGCCGCATCGCCAGGGGCAAGCGATCAAAGAGCAGGAAACCACATTCACAACAGAGCCCCTGCTCCCCTCACTAGGGAACCCACATGGAGACTGAGCCACCAATCAGCCACATCTCAGCAGGGAGTCTAGGTCCTCTCTCTCCATGCGTGGTCTTCAGTTGGTGCATCAGTCCCCGTAGCCCCACCCCCCAAGCCCAGATTTGTTGGCATTGTTGGTCTCCTTGTGGAGCTCCTGTCCTCTCCAGGTGCTTCTATCCCCCCCCCCCTTTTCCATAAGGCTCCCTGTGCTCTGCCCAAAGTTTGGCTGTGAGTCTCAACATCTACTTCGATCTCCTGTCCGGTGCAGCCTTTCAGATGACCTCTATGGTAGGCTCTCATCCTTTTTCCTCTCTTCCACCTCTTCTGGTGTCTATCCTGTTTGCCATTTTGAATGAGATTTAAGCATCCTCCCTGGGGTCCTCCTTGTTGTTTAGCTTATTCAGGGCTGCAGATTTTAGTATGAGTATCCTATATTACATGGATATTAGCCATATAATTCTTTTTTCGCGGGAGTGGGTTGGGGAGAGGATCTTTATTAAGAGATGCTTGTGTCTCAAGTCTACTAGAATTGGAAATGTGGTAACCGCAATTGCCCCCTGGTTTTCTCATGCCTTCTGTCTTAGTGGAAGGCAGGAAGCCAGCTCCTTTAAGCACAGTCAAAGCAGCTAGGCCAGTTGGGGTAAGGAGAGGGAAGCAGAAAAGAACCCAGCCCCAGGTTATACTCTGCTTCCTGCCTGGAGGATGGCACAGGGGTAGCCCTGGCCAGAGCCTCCCTTATAGCTCGTTGGCATCCCTTATCCCAGCACAGCATCCAAGAACACAAAGCACAGTGATTAAACTGACGGAGAAGGTATGACTGCTAGCATACAGCCAGCCAGACCACACCCTAAGCGGCCCGCAAGCTGAGCAACAGCAGAAAGTAAAT